CCCTGAGTGGTACATCGAGTGGTTCACAATCCTGTATTAATTATTTACATAAAATGTAAAACTTTTTTATGATTAACAAGTAATTTTGTAAAAAGTTTTCCTTTTGTTTCATAAACTATACTTATTATAGCTTATAAGTTCATTTCCATGTTTTAACCTGGATTTTTGTAAAATAGTTCCTATAATCCATAAACCATACCTATTATAGTTTATAAGTTAAGTTGATTTCTATGATTTTAACAAGTTTCAAGTTCAAATACATTTAAACAGTAAGAAAACATAATAAGTAAATTATGTTTTTAAACACAAACAATCTTGTGTTTTACTTGTATTCCCCCACCCCCCTCTTTAAAACATTAAAAAGCTTGGAAAATATGTGGGTATGAACTCACCTTATTTGAGGGATTCAAATAGAAGATTTGGTATAGATTGATAAGTTTCCCGAGTGAAATCCCGAAGCACAAATGAGTCCTAATTAGCATATTATCACACATATATGTATATAGTTAGTGAATATAACTACAAAGGTGTTTAGGAAACAACCTAGGATGCTAGAATAACTCACCAAAAGAGTGTTAGAAGCAAGTTTGAAGGCTGCAAGAAGGGTTCACGGCCTGCTGGGTGTTTACGGACCAAGAACACCAAGTGTTCTTGAGTTCACGGCCCAAAGTGTGAAGATTGGAAGTGTTTGGAAGCTGATTTCAAGATCAAAGCGTGATTCTTACAAGTTTCTAGGAAGATTTTGCATGTTCTTGAGGAGAGGGGAGGTTTTTGGTTGATGATACTTGAGAGAGAATTCTTGATGTTCACGACCAGAAGTGTAGAATGAGGAATAATTCAGTCAATTATATATATAAGGAGGAGTTCACGGCCGAAGGCGGTTTGCGAGGGTTCTCGGCCTGCGAAGGGGTTCACGGTCGTGAACCGTTTGCAGTACGAGGTTGGTTCATGGCTCCGAAGCTGTTCAAGGCCGCGAAGGGTTTGCGGCCATGCGAAAGTTCTAGATTTCTAAGGCTTTTCCCTTCCAACTATAACACACTTAGATACAAGGCTTCAAAACTTGTAAATCGACAATCCATCTAATTTAAGATAATGGGAGGAATAAGTTTGACCAAAGAGAAATTTTACAAGAATAAAATTTTCGGGTTGTCACAATATAAAACATAATTCTGGTTATAAAATTACACAGAGTCAAAACTTGTGGAACTCACCAACAATTTTTGTTGACGTATCTTAAACGCATGTATTATCATAAACTTAGGAGCTAGAGTACGCGTCTCATATCATGAAAAATCTATTTCCTTTATGTTATTGTTGGTCGATCTGTTTAGGTCTTGGTTTTATTTTGCATTAATTTTAGCTGAGCATGTTCTATATTACTGTACTTCCAGAGTTTCAAACTATGTAATCCTTATATTAAGATTTATGAAATTATGTAATATTATTATAAGTTTTTGTACTATTCATTATGCATGTGTTATCTGTGATCCAATGTTACGTCACTACCACGACTCGTCTGCCGCCGGCCAGGGGTATGACATTTACCTTCATGGTAATCAGGACACAAAACCAACATTGCAGTAAAGGGATAAGCGAGATGCCCTTCCATGTGCCTGTATCAGTAGCCCAAAAACTCCAATTTTTTTCGGAAGAACCATACTTACTTTGATTACATGGAAGATAAAAAAAGAAGAAGAGAAAATATGATTTTTTTATGTTATTTGATTTATAGGTGGGTTAAAAGATGATGAATAAGGGTTGGTTGGGAGTATTTAACGCAAGTAAACCAACACCACCACCACCACCATCCGTCACCATTTTCACCACCTTTCTACCACCCTTAATCTCAAACCCCAAAACCACCACCGCCATTTCCACCCCACACCTAATCTTTCCTGCTTGCCTCCAAGAAAGCCACTGTCTTCTATAGAGCCTGCAAATCAATACAAATATGTACACACTCACACACATGTAAATCAATCAACACATGCACACACCTTCAAACCAACACACTTGTAAATGAACACACATGTATACACCTGTAGATCAACACACGCATACCTTCAAATTTGGAACCATTTTTGCATACAAAGGATTTGAGAACAATAACAAGAAGATGACTCAATTGGAAGCATATTTTGATCCTCCTATTGTTGTTCCATTTCGACTATAAGATCGGTTGTGGTGGCGATTGTGGATAAGTGTTCCTGGTGTTGGGTTTGGAGCAGAGTGAAGGCGTTTGTTGGGGGTTCGTATGTAGAGAGATACAAGAGATAAGAGTAATCGCAGGCGGCAACGTGATAAGTGGAATGTTCTCAAGCAAGGAGACGATGATAGGCAGTGGTGGGATAACATGTCGCGATATAAGGTTTGAAGGGGAGACACTGTGAGATAAATGAAATTAAGGGTGAAGATTGAGTTTATTTTCTATTTTAAAGATATCAAATATTTAATCAATCTTAAATAAAATGTAAAAATTAAGTTATAAGGGTAAACTAATATTTTTAATTTGAAAGGACCAATTCCAAAAAATTAAACTGAAAAAAATGCAAATTTTATAACTTAGCCCTAACCATATAGAATGAGAAACCAAAGGACTATTTTTGCAATTTCATCTAAATAAGATTAACATGTTTTATTGATTTTTCGTTCATTCTACATTGGAGGTGCTGAATAGAGAAAGGGAACAGGCCTAAGCTCCGTCTTATTCCACCACTTCGGTGTCCGGTCTTCTCTATCGGACCTAGGGTATATGATTGTGTTCATCGTCAATTGTTTTGATCCCCGTCTCTGTACAGGAGCTTCGGATTACAGCAGAAACGCCTTCAAGAAAACCCCATTTTAGGGTATCAATCTCAACAGTTATCATCGAAGGAAATGACTAAAGATTACGTGATAACCCCAGATAGATTTAAGAATTTCTTCAACGATTTGGACACTCGTAGAACCCTACTCACAACTGTCACTGACCTCAACAACAAATTAGTCAATCATTTTATTTCTTTAGAAGAAACCCTCAACCAAAAATCAGTAACCTTAGATACCCAGATCGAGAAATTCAAGAAAGACACCGAAAAAACCCTCGAATCTCTTCAGGTTCGCGAGAGTGCTCTTCCTGAAAAGGAAGTTACATTGGCAGCCCGTGTACAACAGCTTAAGGATTCCGGAATTAAAGATATTGAAAACGGGGCGAGTTCTCATGGGAAGAAGAAAAGGATGTCGGAATTGTTAAGAATGTGGTTTAGAAGGATGGATTCCAAAGGATTAATGGAGTATCTGCTCGCGAATAGGAAGAAATATGAAGTATTGAGGATGGAAACAGCCATGGCGTCTGAGGAGGCGATAGATTTATTAGCGTTTGTATTGGAGGCAGTTGAAGACTATCTGGAGTTGAAAATTAGTGGTAAATTTGGAGGATTGGCACCCACACGATGTGCTTGTGGGATATTGATACAGGCTGCATTTCCGATTCCATCTGGTGGTGAACTGTTTTGTTTGTCACATGGTGGCGGTGGGGTTTCTAGTAAGTTAAAGGAGCGGTCGGCAATGGTGATGGAGAAATGGAAGACTGTTTTGGGTAGTGGTGGTGGTGGTGGTAGTGCTCCTGGTTATCGTGAGGATATAGTGGCCTCAGGGGAAGCTATTCTTTTTCTAACAATGGTTATGGGGTTTGGATTGAAAGACAGGTTTGATGATGAGTTCTTGAAGAGCTTGATGTTGGAAGTTGGGAATAGGAAGGATATGGCCAAGCTGGCAATGGCTTTAGGTTTTGGAGGAAAAGGTTAGTCCTGTTATTGCTATTGTTTTATCACAAACCCCAAGCATGACCCCAAAGAGTTTAAAAATCTTTTCAGATTTATAACAACTCTATGAAATATGTGGTAGAGATACTGAAATATTGTCTTGTTTAAAGCCTTTTTCAAGTTAAAACAATACTATCAAATATGTGGTAAAGATACTCAAGAATGTGGTTATAACAATGATAAAACTAACATATGAATAAGTAAAAGATACCGAAATCTTAGTTATAGCTTGTGAATCATATGAACAAGTGATTGTTGTCTTGTTCAAAAGCATTTTCAAGTTAATAACAACATTATGAAATCTGTGGTGAAGATACTAAAGTATATGTAGTTAACATAAGTAACAATAACAATATCATATAAGTTAAAGATACCAAAATATCTAGTTATAGCATGTGAATCATATGAATAAGTGATTGTTGTTTCAGTATTGGTAAGGTTAGTATGGTGTTTTTGATATTATAATTTCTTGAAATCTAGCTAGATTTGTAAACCACAAAAAATGACTTACTCAATTATAGCATTTAAATGTTATTTTTCTTGTATATAACTTATTTTTGTTTTCAGAAATAATTGAAGAGTTGGTGAACACGGGAAAAGAGGTAGAAGCTGTGTATATTGCTTCAGAAGCTGGTTTAAGTGATCTGTTTCCTCCACTTACACTGCTCAAATCCTGTTATGCTAATTGTCAGAAAACTTTCACAAAAGATTCTCCTTCAAGAGTATGTTCATATTTTCCATAATCATAATCATAATAAGCTTAGCCCAAAACACTAAAAAAACTAATTTTTTTTTTTGTGCTCAAAATCTTGCAGGAGGAAATCTTTAATGAATCAAAGATCACTAGAGAGATTATAAAATGCATTGAAGACCACAAACTCGAATCCGAATTCCGCATGAGTGCCATGAGAAAACGGGTCGCCCATTTAGAGAGAACCAAAGCAGAAATGAAGACCGCCACAGCTGCCGCCACTAGAACGTCTCATTCACCACCCCAGAAGCGGTCACGCTCCCCCCACCACCACCACCACAACCACCACCACCGGAGGTTTGATTTTGACGCTTCCCCATCTCCCCGGGCACCTAAATCGGGCAGGGTGTCAAGTACTTTTACAGCTTTTCATCGGCAGAGCCGCCCTCAACTGCCGACACATCAGCCTGCTGCCGCCAGATACCCGGCGGCAGCAGCAGCACCGTATAGCTACTCGAGCCCTAGTGTGTATGAGAGTGACCCGTATGCGGTTGGGTATGGTGCGGTGCACACCGAGAGTCATGCGGGTTATGGTCAGTATGCGGGCCAGGATCCGGTTCAGGCTAGTGGGTCTTATGTGAGCCAGGATGGAGCCGCTAGTGGGTCTTACTCTTATGATTATAGTGCACCTGCTGTGGCTACTGAAGCTGCTACATCATACCCCGCTACGTGAAATCAGAAATGTGTTAACATGTGAAGTGAACAAAGTTGAGAGGAAGTTGTTTTTGCTTTTTAGTTTATGTTAATAGGATTTTTTTTTTTTTTAAATTAAAGAAATAGACTTGATTTTGTTTTGATGTTTATTTGTTCTGAGAAACTGTGTTTCATAGTTTTTAATCTTAGTTATTATTATAGTGTAATATGATCGGAGGTTTGATTCTTGAGTTCTCACTACACGAGTTGAATACGATGATCAATGGAAGAGTTAGGGTATGGGTTCCTTTTGCACATATAGGTTATGGACTCCAAGCTTTAGGTAATGACCAAGATGTGATACTTATGTCATGGTATGTTATTAAGCACAAAGAGATCCATATTTACATTGAAAATGGTAGGACACTATGGACACACACTTCAAGCATTCTACTAAGGTTGTTATCGATGAAACTAATGAGGGGGTTTCACTAGGGTTCCGATAGATATCCATCCGATTCATTAATATAAGTTTGGAAATACAAATTAGGATCCAACTATATAGTGATCAGAACCCTTCAAAATACTTTTTCTTCCCTATTTTAATTCAATTGTAATTACTTCATTTTAAAGAGCCTTTTCGCTCTTATGTTCGAACTCACCACCGATGTGGAATTAGTATTTTTACTTCCCACTTAAGCAAATTCGTCTCATACCCGTTCTTAAATTAAAAAAGAGTAAATTACACGAATGGTCCCTATGGTTTGAGGCAATTTGCATGTTTGGTCCCTAACTTATTTTTTTTAACTCGGAAGGTCCTTACTGTTTGTTTTTGTTATGCGTTTGGTCCTTGTCTTACCTAACAAGACTATTTTGCCATTAATTTTTTAATTTATTTAAATAAACACACCCTAACCCAACCCTCACCTCACCTTACCTTATCTACCCCAGTATTTTTCCCTATTCCACATTCCATTCCCGTTTCATGTCTATGAATGTCCCTCCTCTCTAGAAAGATATCTACCGTATTATTCACCACCACCATCCACCCCATCATCAGAGTTAAAACTTAAAACCACTGCATGTCTACATTTAAAATCAAATTTATCTATAAGCCTTGACATAATATATAATATTTATCATTAAGAATTGGAATGAGATATCTAATTCAAATATTGAGGCATAAATCAATTATGAAATCTCAGATCAAAATTGAAACACAAATCATACATGGAGCACGAATTGAAACTTGAAATTCAATTTATGTAGATACACTTGACGCCGGACTCAAAAACTTGAAATTAAACACTCATGGACACAGATTTATGCAACAATACTTAAAATCAAACAAAGAAATTTATACAAAGCAACTGAATAGAACTCGGCTGAGACCACAGGAGGTCAGATTGATAATGGAGGTTGACGACGATCGCTTAGCGATGGAGGCAGTTGGCGATTGCTTGTGATGAAGACTAGAGACGATATACAACATTGATGACATGTGAGACGGCCAGATAGAACATGGAAACAGAGGTGTGTCACGTGTCATGAGAGAGAGAGAGAGAGACAACGGAGACGATGGGGCAAGAAGTGATCGGATGGTTGGCGTCATGAGTAATAGTGTTGCAGCGATATCTAGGTCATAAAGGGGTAATTTTTAAGTCGGGGTTCTATCAGTTATGAAGAGGTGGGCGGTGAGGAGTGGATGAAGGAAATACTCGACGCTGAAGATAAAGGAGAGAGCAGTTTCAAGTCTATAGAGAAGAGTGTTGGAACCTGAAAGTGAACCTCTAGCAATCCTAAGTCTGAATTCCGAAGTACTTGTGTTCCGAAACTAAAATGGTCCGGAGTCAAATGTGAAGAGTGGTCCGGAATCTGTCCGGACCAGAAGAGAAGAAGATGAGAAACTGAAGGCATTCCAGAATGATTCTCATGTCCGGAATGGATGCTGATCCGGAGTCAATGTATGAGTCAATGTATTTTGTCTTTATGCATTTATTAAGTTTGTCTTTGTATTGATGTGACTTTTCATAGGACTTAGTCTTTTGTAATATTAGACAATCAGAATGTCAGAAACATTTCTATTTTCCGGCCCTATGTAAGTATTCTAGTTCATTCGCTGTAACCTTCACTCCTATTTATAGGAGCTTTCAATGCAAAGTCAAAAACGGATCATTCACTCAACTTTTGGCATTTACTAAGTTATTTCAAACTTCTTTCAAACATTCTTCTTGTTCTTCATTTATTAGCTTTACCTTTATCATTTGTTCTCATTCTTCATTTAATGACTTGATCATTTGTTGAAAATATTAACTAAGACTTGACTGGTCTTTCCAGTCTTGACTAGAACATTTATTAGCAAGCAGACATTGATCTTAAGCATTCACTGAAGGTTTGAGTTCTCAAACCTTATCCCTGCGCATCAGATCTATTTTGTTCTCTCAATTGGTATCAGAGCTTGAGTGGTTGTCCTTTGAATCCATAAGAGCAGATTATAGTTGGTTTGAAATTACCTTGGTATTTCAACCATTTCTGTGATAAGGATAAAAGTTCTTCTATATACCACTTTAGCTTGAAGATATCTTAACTTTAATGGCTGCTTCTAATCTTCAGCAAATGACTTCAATGCAAATCGCAAATAGTGTGGGTGGCCCTACACGTGCCTCATTACTAGTTGTGGAAGAATATGATCACTGGAAAGTTAGAATAGAAAGATTTTTACTGGCCAAAGATAAAGGTGAAGAAATCTGGAGATCCGTCAAAGAAGGTCCTGTTCCTGTGAGAATAGTTGTGAGAGATGCTGTTGCTCAGCTTATGGGTCAAGATGATAATCGTCCAGCTCCTCTAACCGCAGATGATATTGAGAAGCTGCATGCTGATCAAGTTGCTTTCTCAGAAATGGTGTTTGGTGTGCCTCCTTCACTCTTCGAGCACATCAAGTTGTGCAAATCAGCCAAAGAGATTTGGGACACTCTTCAGGACCTGATTGAAGGTTCGGAAAATATGAAAGACAAGTGCCTCACCTCAGTTGTCAACGACTTTGATACCTTCACTGCCACTCCTGGCGAATCAGTGGCCTCAGCCTCCAACCGTTACCGAATCGTGGTCAACAACATGACTGCTCATGGGATTGTTCGAACTCCTTTGGAGTACAATCTCAATTTCATAAACAGTCTCGGCAAAGTATGGGGAAATGTGAAATCTTGTCTCCAAAGCAATGGTTCCCTGAAAAAGTTAAAGCTCTATCAACTTTTTGATGAACTTCAAGGACACGAGTCTAATGTTGCTCAAACCATAAGGGGACTCTCTGGAGGTCCTCTTGCCCTTGTCAGTTCTTTCGAACCAACCATTCCGAACTTGTCTACTTCGGATCCCTTCAAACCCATTGGTCCATCTGTTCAATCATCCGCACCCATCTTACCCACACAAATCTATCATGTTGATGATTCCGAATCCATGGACTCTGAACTCCGTTTCCAACAGGAGTTTGCTCTACTCTCAATGAAATACAATCGTCCTTTCAATCCCTCCTACAAACCATACCGGAACATAAACCAACTTCGGAAAATCCTCCCGCATACAACCGAACCTCTCTAAGCCAAACTCTACTCCGGAACCTTCTCAGAGTTCCAAATCGGACAAACCAAAAATTGTGTGTCATAAGTGTGTACATGCAAACGATTTTGCTAAAGATTGCCTGGCTGATGCTCCGCAGAAACCAAAAATCAAGGATTCTGCTTACTACGTCCGAAAATCCCAAGAGATGGCTGAAAGCAAAAAAGCCTTTGTAACAACGGTTTCAAGAGATGTTGAAGGATATTGGTCATCCGGGGATGATGATGACATGGTAACTGGAAGGAATATGTGCTTGATGGCAAGAAAAAATGTTGAATGTGATGAAGGGTATTGGTCATCTAGGTCAGAAGATGAAGATGATGTTGCTGATCCTCACTATTGCTATATGGCCACCAATGATCCACCTGGTTGAAGCATCGTTCAGCAGGTAAAATCTATGATCTCTGATAATAATTTTGACTTGTCTCTCTGTGAACCTTATCTAACCCAGATTCAAACAGATATGAACACCATCTATAAAGCCTATGAGTCTGCCATAGACGCGAGTGAGAAGGAGTGTGAGTTAAATCGTCTTAGGTTATGTTTCGAGGATAAAAAATTAAAAATCGAGTCTTTAGAGCGTGAACTTGTAATGTCAAACGATGAATGTGTCATTTTAAAAGACAAATGTGAAATCACCTATTCCGAACGAAATGTTTTGATTTCTGATAACAAATGTCTTAATGCTAAGATAGATGCGTTGCATAATTCCATAGACATGCTTGAAGCGGACATTCGGATGACTCATAATTTTCATCATCCATGGTCTAAAGCACCTGGTCTCGGAAGTGAGTTTCCAAAACCAATTGCTAGTCCCTTGAAGGAATTGCAAAATTTGACATTCATGGGAGAGGTTCCGAACATCAAACATTCAGACACCCCTGTTTCTCCCTTGTCACCACTTCCTGAGACCACAGACCATTTTGAGTCCCTAATTCCTGAGTTCAAACCAATTGTTGTCAAGTGTCCTGATTCCACGCCACTTCCGCCTTTGATAAACCTGGACCTGAATCGGACCACGAAATTTCATCAGTCTTTCAAATTGCGTAGATTATGTTCTTAGGATTAATCATATGAACAACTGTGTTGTTGAAGAAATCATTCCGGTGACAACTGAAACTGATACCTCTGAGTTTATATGGGCATCCTTAGATGATAAAGTTGAAAAATCAAGTTGTGTCTCCTCTGATTCTTGCGAATCGGATTCCTTAGTCGTCTCAAAAACGAAATTGGTTCCCATTACTCCTGAGTTTAGTAATCCATCCGTAGGACAAACTTCAAAATCCTCGTCTCACCCTAAAAGAAAACCAATGTTTAATAGGAAGGATATTGTAGATCCCAAAGTAGAAGCTCGAAATGCACATAAAAAGGAAGTTAAGACTAGACAAAATTCCAGGTTCATTGAAAACTCCAAACCGAGTGTATCCCGGAATTCTCATGCATCAACCCATAGTCAAAACTCATGTGCTCCCACTAAGATCCTAAAAAGACCTTCTGAATCTCTCAGTCGTGTAGAA